TAGAATTCTATCAAAAGAGGGGGGGGGGAGGGTAGGCGCTTAGTCAAGCATGGGTGCTAAGTTGGATACGTTAAGTATTATCACACAAATAAAGTACATTATTTACATTATTTTTGCTGGAATTAATTTTCACTGAAAAGACTTTTTTGGGCGTTTTGTATGGAATTTATTTTCACTGATTTTTGACGAGTGGAATGTAAAACATAGGAAAAAAGGTATATTTGCTGGATCTTATTTTCACTGAAAGATTATTTCAAAATAAATTCAAAGCAAAAATAAAGTATTCTACAGTATATCAAAAGAATACCTTGTACTTGTGCTGTCTTCAGTGTCTTTATCATCATCTGGTGTTATTAGTCTCATTAGTGTTTGATTCACTGTCTTGGCAACTTCTTTTACATCTAACACAGAGTTAAGAAGCCACATGTATACCTTTGTTCATGCTAGTACTGTAAAAACTATATTAAAAGCTGTGTTTTCTATTGGTACAATGCAACAGAGAGGATGCAGCTTCTATTAGAGTATCTACAGAAATGAGATATTGTGATTTTTTTGGTTCTCAATTGTTCCAAAAGAATGGATGTGACTTCTATCAGGAATGCGGCTTCTAATACAGATTTTAAGGTACAAAGGATGTTGGTTCTTAAGTTTAGCAACCTGGTATATTTGTATCACTTTATATATTTTCAAACAATATAAAAAGTAGTGGATACACTGTCATAATTACTAAAAACTGCATAATTTTCACGATTTGATATTCATGAAGACAAAATTTTGCTAAAGTCGCTGACACTCGCGTTGGATGACCCCAGAAAAATATTCAGTGCTAGAAAATTACATGATTTTTCCTGACTTGTAAAATTCTCATAAAATTGTCTCAGTTTACAGTATTTAAACATTTTTTAAAAATAAATCTGCAAAAACCACAATTAATCTATGTCTGGTTTGTATGATTACCAAAAACATTAAAATTAAAAGAGTAATAAAATAATAGTGTGATGCAACATAAAAATGTAAAGGATATTTTTCTTTTTATCATCTTCATAAGCAACACATGGCAATATGGCAGTGAGAAGTCCTGACGAGTACGGTAACATAGTCCTACCGGCAATTGTTAAGAACTCCTTCAACCATGTGATAGCTGTAAACTGTATCAAAGCATCTAAATAATAAAATAACATTATTATTACAATTATTAGTAGTATTATGAGGTTATTACGAGAATACCTCGAAGAATGCACGAAGACAGTACAGCTGGACTATCGACTGATGCTAGGTGTACTGTCTGAGTGCATAATTTGAGGTATTCTCGTAATATCCTTATTATTATTATACATCTTTTCCTTTCAGGGATACAACATGGGAATGCCGAAATCTAAAAAATTTAGAACAGAATCAGTGAACTTCTTTGTGTGGAGTCCAGTCAAACCCTGATGGCAGCCATGTTTGTTTTTAGAGACCGCTTACATGTGTAATCATTTCATATTTGAAATTCGCATTTCCTTATATGGTGCAATGAAAATACCCCGTAAACTACCGCAAAATTACGGCACTCTGTAACTTATGGTGTTACGGTGACAGATGTATAATAATGATGTGCCATATATTAATTAACATGTTGGTTTCAGCAAAAAAAATAAAAAAATATATCATACTCTCTGCAGTACAATGAGCAATAAGAGCTAACATTAGCCTAGAAACAGATATCCTACTATAACAAATAGTACAAATGTAATTATATGAAGTAAAGTTGGTATAATATAATAGGAATAAATATATAATACAGCTAAACTTCTTTACCTCACATTTAAGAAATGAGACACCCTTCCCAGATTATATTAATTATTTTGTCTTATAGATAGTGTGCTCCCTCAAGTATTGTAGATTTAATGATATTACTAATGATAGTGTCATGTAGTATGGAATAAACTTATTAAATAATAGGAATGAACAACCACTGCAGACACGTATACGACTTGATACTGCACAGATGACTTCAAATATGCACTCGTCTGCAATTCTCTTCATATATATTGTGAATACCGGTAGTGCAATATCTTGTGGTATACGCAACTGCAAGGTTGATCATTTCTTAAATACCTTGTGACTGAGAATGGGTTGTCAAAATATTAACCATGGCAGCAAAATCTACACTGTTTGGAGACTTTTTAATTTCCAGCAGAAACTCAGCAAGCGCAGATTCACACCTACAGGAAAAAACAATACAAGTAGATATTAAGTGAATGAATAAATATTTCTCACTTTTATTTACAATCACTATAATTTCAGTATCACATACAAGTTTTTGTCTTGTTTTTCATCTTCAGTTTCATATCAAAAATGGGGATTTTGTATTGTAGGCATACATGTCACCTTTGAAAGTTTTCAAATTGTTCGTAAAATATATGACTCATGTTTTTTATTCATATATTTATTAACAAAATATGAACTTGTTTAGTCTTTGATTATAAATGTAGATTACTGGACGTCACATGGGGAAGGGGTTAAGATTCAAGAAACTTGTGAAAAAAAAACATTGCAGAAAACTGTCTCAGCCTCAATAATTTAGCAAGGAATATACAGATTATTGAATTAACATTATGTATTTAACTAACAGATTATTAATATAATATCATGGTACGGTACTTACATTTTTCTAATTTCTTTACTCTGATCACCAAGTATATGAAACATGCCATCCAGAATTTCAGGTAGAAAGACCAACATATCAATATGGGGTACTGAATCTAATACAGTAACCTGAATAGGAAAGTAATTGCAACAACTGTATAAGTTGGAAGACGAATATATAAATATTACGCACTGAATCCAATATAATGACCTGAATAGGAAAGTGATTGCAAAAACTACATAAATGGATGGGGTAAAGAACCCCAACCCATAGTAAAACCGAATAGAAATGTAATTGTAAAATTTGAGTAAGTTTTAGGAAAATATCAAATAAGGTACTGAATCCAATACAGTACAAATCAAAAAATTATTGCAATATATGCATGTGCACAGACCCTTGGATCTATAATCTGAGCAAGTACGAATTCCTAAAAAGTGATACTTCATATACATCACAAATGGCAATTATATTTAATACTTGTCCAAATTCAAAAAAAGTCCAAAATTGTTTTCCTATACAGTGTTCTCCACAAGGGGTTTTAGGTGGGCGGCCCGCCCATCAAGTTTTACGGCCGCCTAGTAACTCTCAACACCCGCCCACCAACGTACATCCAGCTGAAATTATTTGTAAAAAGCTTGCATTGTTCTTCCCAAGCCTAAACAAAAGAGTAGTTGCCCAACCCTTTATTTTGCTATTGTTTCAAGAGTCCAAACATAAACAATGACCACAGGAAGTCTGCAAGCAGTTATCAAGTGTATTCATGGCAATGTGTCATCGCCTGAATTCATCGTCGCCCGACATTGTTGCCACTTATGCTCACGATACGCACTACAGTGG